CTTTGGATTTGAGACTTTAGTCTTTGCAACTTTACAGATCTTCTTTATGCACCAAGAGTTTGTAACACTCCAAAAAGAAAGGAAAACTTGAAATCGCATCACCCCTTTAAAATATGTCTAAAAAATACCCTATCTTCCCCCTCAAATAAAAAAAAAATCCCCCAAAAGAGCCACCTAAAGCGGGAATTTTCCAAAACGAAATTCAGGACCTGCTCAGAATGAACATCCATTTTTCACACTGTACGTTATAATGTTGTGTTGCCTAAATTAATTTTAAATGATTGATTATAGCTAGTTTTTATTATGTCTCTTCTTAACATAAGTAGACAAAATAGTATTGCTCAATGCTCTATATGAACCAGCTCTTTCTAATACAGTAATGCTGATATAAAACCTGCTCATCTTCCCACATCGGGCTGACACAGTCTTCAGAATCAGTAGTGGATGGTAACAGGCATGAGTGGGCACTCCCAACACTCAGCGTCTCAAATCTCTTCCTTGATTTCATCAGCCTTGGTGTCAAACTTCTAGCCAGCAGGCCCGGACTGAACACCCAGTTGGATCCTAGAGAATATGACATGTTACGCTTTACATTGTTCTACTAGAGCAAAAACAATGATAGACTGTCAATGCACATTATTCTGACACGTACCTAGAGCTCGAGTTGTGCATACTGGTGAATTCAGGTGATCAGCCCGTCTCTTCAGCAGAGGCGAACACAGAGAACTATTCCTCTGCTTGACTTTTCCACAGGACATGGGGCTGCCCAACACTGTGCTGCTGTGACCCTTGCTCTCTGTCACTGGAGTATTCTGCCAATTCAAGTCAAAATATGACATATTATACAAGATGTTTCAAACATGTTGTGGACATGTTGATTTAATGATATAGCAGGGCTAAACAAAACGGATGACCAATTGTCAGTGTGAGAGTTTCGGGCCAGTTAACAGAACATCAGGTTTGTGCATTTTTATAACTTGGAAAATTAGATTTTTATTCATTTTATTTTTTTTCGTGATACACTGATCATTTCTGTAATTAACTCACAACTTTCAACAAATTTAAAAAAATAATAAAAACTTACTATGACGGTATGATAGTGACTTCAGTGTCACTTCAGAAATCATTCTAATATTTTTTCAAGATGCTTTGAAGAATAGAAATTCAAAAGAACAGCATTTACTGAAATACCAATCTTTCGTAATATTGTAAATGTCTTTACTGTCACTTTTGATCAATTTAATGCACCGACCCTAAACTTTTGAAGGACAGTGTAGTTTTGTAGATACTAAATTTAAATGTCACAAAAGTAACGTTAGCTAGCTGACATGATGTTTTTGTCCAAACAGCAAGAATGACTTTGGACAGTCTTGAAAACTTCAGTTAAAATTAGTTAACTATATACAGTCAAAATGAGTTAATTATGAGAAAATTATACACAAATCATTAATGTACCACTGTATTCCACAGTTTATCCAAAAAAGATATATATATATATAAAGTTACATTTACAGCTCTTTTATTTTAAATTTTTAAAGATAAAAACTTCTTACTAAAATAGATCTTTGATTATTAATCAGCTATGTATTAATCAAATTAAAGCTGGATTTACTAGGTGGAAATCAGGGTCAGCAGGACAAAAAAAAGAACCTTATTGTTGAGCCATGTAATATACAAATTAAATGATTCTGCAAATCTACTCACAAGACCAAGAGAGCTTATCAGTGACAGAACTTGACCAGGTGTTCTGAAATAATCTTTCTCAGGTTTCACCAAAGAAGGTGTGGTTAGAATGTCCATCAGGTTTAGTTCTGGAGGGTGGGGAAGGAAAAGTTTATGTTAAAATCACAATAAAGAAAGTATTTTAACATTTTTGGTTGTTAAAAAAAAAAACATACCCCTGTCAAGTTTAACCTTGGAGAGCCCAAAGTCGGTGAGCTTAATGTGACCCTCATTTGAGATGAGCATGTTGTCTGGTTTTAAGTCCCTGAATCAAATGACAAAAAAAGGATGTCAGTTTGATAAACAAAAGACTAAGAATTACTCATAATTCTCCTGTGAATATACCTGTGAATAATGCTGTGTCTGTGAAGGTAATCCAGAGCGAGTGCGACCTCTGAGATGTATTTTAGAGACATGTCTTCATCAAAGTACCCATAAATATGAAGAAGTGATTTTACATCTCCAATATACATATATACATATATACATACATACACACACACTTGCAACCAAAAAATAGAAAATTTGTGGAAAATTGACTCACCCCTCCCAAGAAGTAGATGACATTGTTTATTCATCAGAACAGATTTCAATAAATGTAGCATTACATCACTTGCTCACCAATTCAGTGAATGGGTGCCGTCAGAATTAGTGCAAACAGTTGATAAAACATCACAATTATCTACAAGTAATCCACATGACTCCAGGCCATCAGTTAATGTCTTATAAAGTGAACTGCATGTTTGTAATGAAAAGATGTTTTTAACCTTATAATATTGCCTTCACCAATAAAACAGTTCTAAATTAACATGTCAGTGGGTTTTGATGTGATAGGACAAAAGAGGATGGACTTTTTACTGAAAGTAGCGTTATTATGATTTATGCTATTTTGGCCAAAGTTTCATATTTAGAATGCCTTTATTAATTTGTTAAACACAGTTTTTCTCTTCACAAGACATTAACTGATGGACTGGAGTGGTGTGGATTACTCATGGGTTATTGTGATGTTTTTATCAGCTGTTTGGACTCTCATTCTGACGGCACCCATTCACTGCAGAGGATCCAATGGTGAGCAAGTGATGCAATGCTACATTTCTCAAAATCTGTTCTGATAAAGAAACAAACTCATCTACATGGCCTGAGGGTGAGTACATTTTCTGCAAATTTTCATTTTTGGGTGAACAATTCTTTTAAATATTTTCCACCTGTACATGTTTTCATACCAAATAGACTTTAGTTGCGGTTTGAAGAGAGTAAAACAGGTGCACAATAAAAGGACTTTTACTGAGAGCAAGAGCATCTCTCTCAGCTTTCATCTGATCTGTCATGTTCTTATCCACCATGTCTGCTTTCTTCACCACCTGTCACACACACACACACAGACACACACACACACAGACAAAAACAACATAATTTGTTTATCAGTGCTATTAATTAAAAAAATGGTTAAACAGTTAAGAAACACGGAATGCGATGATAAATAACTATAATAAAAGTTAGTAAACGTATTATTTACCTGTTCATAGCATATTTACTACTCGCTTTAAATAAATAACGTTAGATACATTTTCCTTCTGATAAATAATACATACTCGAATAAAACAATAAATGATTATTATACGATTACAGTTAATTTTAAATACCATGACGTGCATATTTGAAATACAAATATGTTACATTATATACAAAGCATAACTTAATATCTGTATACCTTGACTGCATAGAGTTTGGAGTTGCATTTCTTTCTGGCGAGGTAAACCTTCCCAAAGGCTCCTCGACTGATAGGTTTGACCAGCATAAAGTCCTCGATGGAGGGAGCTTTCACTGCGCTGTTTGAGCCTTCAGATGATATTCCATGAGCTTCCATCGCTGCTATCTCTTCAAATATTAATTTATTCCAATTAATTCACTAGTTTATATCACTAGTTAGTCGGTCGTCTCACCATGCAGTCAGATGATCCTCATTCAGAGAAGTACAAAAACGATTAATGGTGATTATTGTTTTGAAAATGAAATACATATCACCAAAAATGGTTTTGCACGCTACATGTATTCGGTTTGTATTAGTTTAAACGAGTCGTTCAGTCCACCGCATCCATTCTCACTGTTGACAGGCGCGACTCGTTTGTTTTGAAATTTGAAATTTGAAATGAGCGACATAAATGTGGGTCCTAAGACGCGGTGGTTTAGTCGCCTCGAAAGTCTGAAATTGAATAGTCAACTGGACATTTTTTTTTACGTTTATTAAAGATTGTATTAGTGCTGATGTTTATTTTATAAGTGATATACTTGTTGTTTTATTCTTACGATAGAAATGTACTGTTCAAATTTCTGCAAAACGAATCAGGCAAAGACGTTGGCTACTTTGCAGGTCTTTAATGGAGCGGAGTGGAGGAGGCGCCCTCTGTTGGCCAGTGACAGAATAAAAGCTCGAACTTTTTTTTTAATTTAATTTTATTTTTTTAGAATAAAAGCTCGAACTTTACATTTAAGTTCATCCCAAAGAGGCAAATAAACAAAAGACGTGCTCGTAATACAAAGTTTCAGACACTGTTTAGAAATCTCAGAATGTTTTTTTTTTAATAACTATTATTTGGGACATTTGATTCTGGGTCCTGACCTGACGCACAAGCGCAATTCCGCCTATGCAAAAAAAAAAAAAAAAAAACTTTTTTTTTGGTTTGATTTTATACATATTCTCATAAAATAATTATTCATTCTGATTGGTCCATCCTCAACAGCGCTGAGAAAAATAACACGTCACATGCTGCAGCAGCTGTTTGGTTAACAATCTAGAACTATTACACCGATTAATATTAATTTACAATTTATGAGCTGGTTATTATATCAAAGTGTAGCTTTTTAAAATCTTAGATGTGGCTGTGGAATAAATGTATGAAAGAAAGAAAAGAACATTTCGGTCATATTTTCAATGGTAGGCTATTTGGTAGGCTATTTTGTTTTCAATATTCTGTTGATCGAAGTAAGGACAACATGAGTAGGGCCTACTATTACGACTTTCACAGTTAGCTTTACAAAGTCTGCGTCCTTGATATTGTATACCCTGATTCTGGTTTAGCTATGTTGTCCCCTCCTTGGAACTTTTTGTTTTTCTCTCTTTTCTTTTTTGATTTTTCTGTTTTTATCTTTGTATGTATAATGTTCAGTATCAGCATTTGAATGTTTCTGAATATGAATTTAAATGTTTATTCAACTAAAAGGTGAATAGTGGAATATTTTCAAACTTATAGGCTACACATTAGGCTACATTTCTTAAAGGGGTCATAGGATGCTACATGCACTTTTACAAGTTGTTTGAACTGAAATATGTATTGGCAGTGTGTGTACACAACCACCCTATAATGATAAAGATCCACTCGGTGTTTTTTTTTTATCTCGTTAAATAATTTCCCCTCTCTCATATCAAGCCATTCTCAGATGCCTGTCTGTGTGACGTCACACAGACCCAGGCCCCTCCCATGATTGTTGATTGACACTGGCGCCCTGAGTGAGCTGTCAACAGTCCGCCATTGTTTCGAGAGGTAGACAAGAATTTCTCCTAAGCGAGGTGTTTTGTTGTTGGATGTTATAATGAACATAGCAGTCGTCATGAGGTGTTTTGTTGTTGGATGTTATAATGAACATAGCAGTCGTCATTTACTCCTGACATCTGAGCCACTGAAGACGCAGTGGATTACTTTTGTATTTGAAGGGAATGCACCCCGATCTACCTAAATGCATTTGTTCGCACAAATCTTTTGTGATCCAGCTTCACCTACAGAAGAAGTGAGTATAAGTTTTTTTATGGATCTTTGCAAACTGCCTTTCCTAATAATGTGCTAGTTAGCAAGTTCCACGGCTAAAGTTCGGTTCAGGAAGAAAATTATTCTAAGCGGACAGCGGGTGAACAAAGAGTGAATACATAGCGGGAGCGGGACTAAAAAAATAGTCCCGCGCAGACCTCTACTCGGTATCTCTTCTACTCATCAGTGCTGTTTGTCTAAACCACTTCTCCTCCTAATCTCATCCATATCACAAAAAATATAGCATTCTGTGTAGAATTCAAATGGGTCTGATAAGTTTTATGGGCTGCGCCGACTCGCGCATATGATCTGCTCCGTGCTATTGTGTCTCTTCAACGGAGCAGACTATATGTGCTGCAATGGTTTGCGTGACACAACGCAAAATCGGACTTCTTTATCCCCAATAGAAACTATACTGTCTGAATAGTTCCCTAGCTCCTATATAGTAGGGGTGGAACGGTTCAACTTACTCACAGTTCGGTTTGTATCACGGTTTTAGAATCATGGTTTCGGTACGGTTCGGTATGTGCTATGTTCTTCCCAGTGGAAAGTGAAAAAGAGCTAAGAGAGACATCAGCTGAGATCCTAGGATCTTTGGTGAATGGAAAGTCAAGGCCCGAGGCCTGGCGCAGACTTAAGGTACAGAAGACTTCTAGCTCACATCCTCATCTTCTCCGTATCTAGCAGAACCGCAGACTGACCGAGGTGGGTCACTGATGTGAGAGCTTTATCTCCTATTGAGCTCCTATTGAGCTCACACCTCCGGGGGATCAAAGAGCCAATGGTGTCTTGAACTTTTGGAGAGAAAGTTTACGACTCTTTGTCTCCAAGCATGGCATT